AATAGGATATGTGATAGGTAGGGTTTTAGTTGGGGTGGTGGTAGGGGAGGACTAGTAGTTCAGTTCTTTTCCCTAGCTGGGAACTTTGGGAGCCCATTCCACATAGAGGAATACTCCCTGAGCCAAGACACACGGGGATGGGCATAGGACCTATCCCAAAGGATACAATAGACTCTGATGACACCCTATGGAAGGTCTCATCATCCAGGGGGAGCAAATAGGATATGTGATAGGTAGGGTTTTAGTTGGGGTGGTGGTAGGGGAGGACAAGAGGGAGAAGGGAACTGGGATTGTAAAACAATCTTGTTTCTAATTCAAATTTTAAAAAAATCTGGAAAAAAAAAAGAGAAGCCAGAAATACACACTGGAAAATAGAAACCATCTTCAATAAATGGTGCTGGTCAAATTTGAGGGTTGCTTGTAGAAGAATCCAAATAGATCTATACTTACCACTCTGCAAAAAAAAAAAAAAAAATGTAAGTGTATACATTAAAACCATATACTTTAAAAAAATCTGGAAAAAAAAAAGAGAAGCCAGAAATACACACTGGAAAATAGAAACCATCTTCAATAAATGGTGCTGGTCAGATTAAAGGTGTGCTTGTAGAAGAATCCAAATAGATCTATACTTACCACTCTGCAAAAAAAAAAAAAAAAATGTAAGTGTATACATTAAAACCATATACACTGAACCTGGTAGAAGATAAAATGGGGAATATCCTTGAACTCCCTGGGACAAGAAAAGCTTCTGAACAGAACACTATCAAAACAGACACTGTGAATAAAAAAATTAAATAAGTGGGTCTTTATGAAACTGAGAAGCTTCTAGATTGTAAAGTGCACCATTATTCAGTCAAAATGGCAGCCTACAGAATGGCAAAATAAATTTACCAACTATACATCTAACAGAAGGCTAATCAAAATATGTCAAGAACTTTACAAACTTGATATCAAGAAAAAATAACCTAATTAAAAAGCAGTGTACAAGTCTAAATAGAATTCTCAAAAGAGGAAACACAAATGGCTGAGAAATGCTTAAAGAAATGTTCAACATCTTTACCCATTGGGAAAGTGAAAACTAAAACTACTTTGAGATTTTATCTTACATCGGTCAGAATGGGTAAGATCAATAACATGTTTGTGAGAATGTAGTGTATGGAGAACACTCTTCTACTGCTGTTGGGAGTACAAACTTGCACAGCCACTGAAGAAATCAGTGTGGTGATTCCTTTGTAATCTTGGAATAGACAGATCTTCTTCAAGATCCACCTATACCACTCTTGGGCTTATACCCAAAGGTCTCTTCATCCCTGGACCTTTGCTTAACCTTGTTCATTGCTGCATTATTCATAATAGCCAAACATAGGGAACAATATAGATGCCCCTTAATAAGAGAAAAATGTGGTACATTTACATAATGAAGTATTACTCATCTGTTTAAAAAAATGAGATCAAGAAATTGAAGGTACAAAACAAAATCCCAGAAAAACAGCACAGTTCTGTTACTCTTGTGGTACATCCCAGACCCAGAAAGGCAATATGTCATGTACTCATGTATTTGTGTATATTATCTGTCAAGTCAATGATAATTAAGATACAGTCTATAGAACCACAGAGGATAGGTATAGAGTAAGTCACCAGGGGGCTCATTTGTAAAGGGAAATAGAATAGAAAGTTATGAGTAGATGGTTAGTGAATTTTTGGCCAAAGGGGTTCCAGGAGAACAATCCAGGCTGTTTCTAAGACAATAGATTGCTCTCCACAAACTGAAGGCAAGGCCCTATTGCTGAAGACAACACCCACACAACTCACTGAACATGGAGAAGTAAAGCTGGTACCTACATACAGCCTTCACCTCTACATAATAGCATCTTTGGTAAAGGAAGGTATTCTGCATGATACCAAAGGAGAAATACAAACATCAACCCAGTCACAAAACCTTTTATCTACAATGATGTCCTTCCTACAAGATATACTAGTTCAATGGTGGCAAAAATCTTGTGGGAGTAACCAACTCATATCTGGTATGATAACAACTCAAGACCTACTCTGCAAGATGGAACACATACTTGACATGCTTGGATGACCAAGAACCTAAGACTAGATAGCCTAGCGACCAAGGATAAAAACAAATGCTACTTTCCTAAAAATAAAAAATAAAATGACTCTTAATGGTATTCTTCTATTCTCACAGATTGTTCAGCTATCATCAGAGAATTTTCCCTCTGCAGCAGATGGGACCAAATACAGTGAACCATAGCCAGACAGTGCAGAGAGAGAGATAGAGACCATGAAACATTCAGTCCCAAATGGGACATTTCCATCAAAACCTTCCCCTCAGGGCTCAGGAGAAGAATATATATCCCTACTCTAGAGGTGTTTTATATATATTTTGTGTCTTCCAGTTCACTTTTGGGGGATTCTTGAGTGTGTGAATGAGTGGGTCCTTTTTGTTTATTTGTTTGTAGTGTCCTGTTTGTGTGCTGAAAAAAAATTACCCTTCGGTGTACAGATTTAACACTACTGGAAAACTCCATGGATTGAAACTACTCTCAGAAGTTGTATTTCCAGCATATTTAACACTTTAGATGTTAAATATGACAGCCTCTGAGGAGTAGATGAGGTGAGGTGGGGGGGTGGGAGAGTAAGGAGTGGGAGGAGGGGAGGGAGAACTGAGACTGGTGTATAAAATATTGTTTAAAAAAATAAAAAAGAATGAATATTCACCCCAAAAGGTATAAAAGCTGATATTCTCAGTTAAAAATGAAAAAAGAAAAGAAAGGACAAGAAAAAAGAGTTGCCATGGTTATAGTGTCTCTTCACGGCAATAAAAACCCTAAGACTAGGGGTCTTGTGCCTACCACAATGCATGTGTGCATGTCAGGAGATACTTTCAGGAGTGGGTTCTCTCTTTCTCCTTCTTTGAAGCAGGCCTTGTTTATTGTCTCTGCCAGGCTGTATATTAAATGTAATCAGTTTGTGAACCTCCAGGCCACCCTCTTCTCTCTGCCCCTCACGGTCCTGGAGGAGTGCTGGAATTACAGGTTCAAGCTGCTACAGCCAGATTTTTTACATAGGTTCTAGATGCAGGACACAGGTTGTAAGCCTTGAGCTGCCGACACTCATTGAGCCATCTGCTAGCCCCTTTGTTTTGCAAGATGCTACAATCAACAGAACACTTAGATTCGCCACTGAGAAGGCATTGACAGAGGAACTATGCTATGGATTAGATCTGATATCTGCCTCTAACGCTCACAGGCTGGAGACTTGAGCCACAGTGCAATAGTATTCAGAACTCAGGCCTCTGGGATGTGACTATTGTGTGAGGTCTGGTCATCAATCGATTTAAAGACTATTGGGAGACAGTGGAAACTGTAGGAGGAAGTACACCTTAGTGGGAGGAAGTAGTTATTGAGGCACGTCCTCTAGAAGGGTGTAGTTTTTCCTGACCCCTTTTTCCCTGTCTCTCTTTCCTGTGGTGAGCAGCATCTCACCACCACGCACTTCTCCCATGACACACTGCCCCATTACAGGCCGAAAAGCTAATCAAACCAAGTGTCTACAGAGTGAAGCTAATAGAGCACAAAGCCTAAATAAGTTATTTCTTTTTAAATTAATGCATGCTGCACTGGGGAAGGAGAGGCTGGACCTAACCACACTGGAGTTTAAGGCTGCTCCTGCCTCCTAAAAACCCTATGCTGAGCTGGGCTGCAGCTCAGTGGTGGGATGCCTGCTGGACATATGCAAAGCCCGGAGTTCCATCCCAGCACTGCCAAAACTTAAAAAATAAACACTTCCAGGCTTGGACAAGATGCTCAACTGATTTCCTTATTGTAAAGCAATAGTACCTTTACTTAACTAGGTACTCAACTGCCACAGAAATAACATTAAAGAGCTGGCACGCACGAAGGTTGAATATGGGGTTGCAGCATACTGGAATCAGAAAGGGTTTCTCCACTGTGTTCCTGCCTTCACCTTCATCAGCAGAATTGTATGATTTCTGTTCACTCTGTCTCCTGGATTACTCATACATGCCAATTTATGCTGAAATCTGTGATGTGCTGGAGGAAGGCCCTGGACCATTCTTATTCCTACATATGGTGATGAATGGAACATGTCATTGAGATTCACTGACTATAATTACAACAATTTTACTTGGCAGCTGATCTTGTTTTGCTCTTTTATCTTGTAGTGATGTTTATTAATATTTAACTTTTATTTAGTTGCCCACTCAGTAGTTTGTTCTGCACAGATAATGCAAACATGCCTACTTTCTGGTCTTCAGAAGCCTAATCACCAAAATGATGGTTCTGTCCAATCCCTGGAGACGTAAAAAGTGGACAATAGTTGGGCACTGGGAGAGGCGGCTGTCTGATCCATTGTGCCTTCTCTTCTGGCTATAGCTATATACACTTGCAGTCTGTTTCATGTGCACGTTGAGATTCTAGCAGCTCCCTGCAAAAGCAATCCTTCAACCCACAGTGCAGCCTGAGGGCTTGCAGTGTATCTTCCAGCCTGCAAACATTGGAATGGTGTTAGACCAAATTTCCGTCCCCACCCCTGACCTTTGATTCCTGTACGAGATATCTCTATTGGGTTGGAGGGTAGAGATCTCATCAGAGCCCCAAGGAACAGGCACACAGAAACTGAACAGAAGGCTGAGAAGCCAGAAGGAGTCAGAGTTGAGGACTCTCGGGGACTTATGAAACAATCCTGACTCCTCAAAGCCTGGCTGTGGATACAGGCTAAAAGCTATTGAGAACTTGTTGCCTAGCAACGTGAGACCAGTTAATAAAGGAGTTGGAGGCTTTTCATTTCCCAGACTGCAGGTAATTTTTCTAGGGGAGCTTGGAAAGTGTGCTCTTCTATCTTTTGTTTTTCTATAGTCTAACATTTGTTTTGCATGTTGATTAGATGACAGAATTTAGTGAAATGTCCCTGAATGCAATGTGATGTTTGGGGTGTGGGTAGTGTCTGTCTCTCTAGTAATGTGAATACAAATGCTATACTTAAAACCAAGAGTTCAAGAGTGAGAAGCAATGAGTACCACTTAATGCAAAGTAGTAGTGGTGGCTGCTTATATTTCTGAAATAACAAGGCAGGTAGAGGAGAAAGTGGTAAATAAAACATCAGCTGAACTCCTTAAAGGAGACACTTTCCCAAAGAGTAATGGGAACATTTGATTCCTGAGTTTCATTGTCCTAACACTAACAAGCCACTGAAAACCAGTACAACTGTGGAAAAGTCAGGAGGGCAGGCTTTGCTTCCTGAGCTTGGCTCCTCAGATATTCCCACAACTCCATGCTGCTCTGTGGGATGTTCTCAGTCAAATCCTTTAGCTATTTGATAGAAGAATTTAGTATCTATTAAACTTAGCATACTCAACTTGGGCCTTATATTTTGATATCTTTTATTTTATAATAATTCACTTTATTGCACATAAATAGAAACACTAATCCATAATGGAGCTGAAGTTATGAACAAAGAGGAAACTCTCCCTTTCATGTAGAGTAGTGCCACTCTGGAGCATAGCCACAAATCTTTTGTAACTGTCCAAAATTAAATATATTTTAATTTGTGGCTGATTCAGTCTAACCAGAAGCTAGTAACTCAGCTACAGAAACAATGCAGGACATAGCTGTATCCCAGAAAGAAAAAAAAAAACTTTATTTGCAAAATACCCAACAACCTTTGCTCTCCAGCACCATGTCTCGCCATCACCCTGTGGAAGTTTAGATTTAACATTTGTAGGCAACCCTAAGATCTGTTTCTGACAACCTTCTGAGCCTGGTGGTGGTAGGTCATAGAGTCACTGTGTGCCAAATCGTGATGAAGATTTCTGAAGTGGAAACCCTGACAGGGTTAGAGCACCTATGTTATTCACTATAGGACCTATAGGAGAGGTCGTGGAGCCTTCAAATTCAGTTTTCTTGTCTGAAAAATGGAAATGATTTCAGCTCCATTTAATTTCTGGGAAAGTGCAATAAAATTATATATTTTATAAAGTTTTATATTTTATATTTAGGAAAATACTAAGAGAGATGATATAAATGTATATAGATGTAGGTTTTCTACTGATGTTAATTTTCTCTTAACTCGTTGTCTTAAACTGTGAGAACAGGAATGTGTAAGTTACTCTTTACCAGGCCATGATAGTGACCTTCATTGGAGGCATCTTAGAGTCACAAATCTACACTCCTGTCTATAGTTAGATCTGAAGGATGTTTATTATTGTCAGTCCATGCCACAAAGGCGGCAAAGAGAAACAAGACAAATGTGTTACATAAATATGCCTTGGAGGTCTTGTTTACATTGGTGATCAGAAACAGTATTGTAAAATGAGTAAAGTCACTAAATAGTTTTAAGCTCACACACATTAAAAATGTACATGCAATGACTCCAATGACCCAGCATCCTCAGACTGCAGAGCCCCTCATACATGACAAGGGAAGCCAGCTGTGTTCAGCAGGGCCTTCACCTGATATGGGGCTCAGAAACAGTGTTGTTATTTTTTCATTCAAAGGATCTTTCCTCTTGTCAGAGGCCTGAAACAGCAAGGAGCCAGAAGTTCCCAAATTACAGAATGGGCAACACAAGTGGTCCTGTTTGTTTGCTGTTTGTTGCCTTCATGGAAATAAATATTTGTATGAAAGGAAGGATGCAGAGGGAGACTTGCTTGTGCTTTCTTTGGTAGTGATGCTGAGAGGAGAGAGGAATGGACAGCCTACTCCTGACTTTCCAAACCTAACAGTTACAAATGACCTGATTGCTTTAGACTATCTGATAAGAGCATTTTGTTATATATGTATTGTTCTACCTGCATGTGCTCTGTGTTACAGACAGTTGTGAGCCTCTTTGTGGTTGCTGGGAATCGAACCTGGGTGCTCTCAGCCACTGCGCCAATTCTCCAGCCCACATCCAAGAGAACAGATCCCTCCACATTATGCCTTCTGGCTTGGGCAGGCAGGACTCAACCAGGAATTTCTGGTGCCAGGTGGCCAGGCACCATTATGGTGAGTGAGTGCAGGGTGGAGAAATGGAAGAGAGAGAGGCAGAATGCTTCCTGGGCTGGGGAGAGAGGTGGATCTGCAGGGGTGAGGGTGTGAGGAACGGACTGACATGAATGGCCTGCTCACCACCCTAGTCCAAGGTGACGTCCTACCTGGGCTGTAGCCAATAACCAAAGCAGCCTGTGTTAATGTCTGAGGCTCCTGTACCACTGAGGGCTGTACAGAGGCCTGTAATCTGAGCACCACCTGAGAACATAGGTGTCTGAGGGTCATGCTACCATGGGGGCCATGCTGGTCTGCATGGCCTGCACTGCCACCTGAAGTCATGGTGACATCCAGGCCAGGGCTACTTCTGAGGGCCATGTCTGAGTCGGTGGCCCTACAGCAGCAGCCAGGGTCTGATTTGATGGCCATGACTCTTATTATAACTTCGTTTTACAGACAAAAGAGCTATTTGCTCTGCCCTGTCCTTCTTAGATAACTTTCTTCCGTAATACAAAATTCCGATAAACGAGGCGGTCTCCTCAAACCTTCCTTTACAAAAGGAGTAAAAGGCAAAATGTTAGTGCTTAGCATAATCCTGTGATAAAGATAACAACAAAATCTTCTTTTTAAAAATTCTTTTAACTTTCATTGCTTCTTTGTGGATTTCACATCATCTACCCAGATCCCACTCATCTCCCCAACCCCCTTGCTTCTGCCCTCTCTGCCCTTGCAACCTTCCCACAAAAGCAAAATTTAAAAGTAAAGTCCAAACCCAAGCCAAACCAAACAAACAAAAAGGATAAGAATCTCATTGTGGAATCCGTAGTGTGTCACAGTGAGTCACAGTTTACCCTTTAGTCCATTCATCTTTATTTGCAAGTGTTCATTGCTATGAGTCATTGGCCTGGCTGGAGGCCTCTGGCTTCTGCCACACTATTGAAAATGGACTCTCTCTGGGGCTCCTCTTGGATATCCTGTTGTCCTGTGTCCTAGGGATCCTGTGGTTTGGGATCTGTACATTTGTCTTCTTCTAGTGCTCTAACATTTTATAGATGAGGTGGATGTTGGGGTGGGCCCACTCACAGCTGTGGTTCTAGGCCTGGGTGGTAGCTGGGTTGTTCAGCCCACCAGCTCTCCTCATTGTCACTACCAGGGTGAGCTCTCCAGGCATCCTAAGGAAATAGAAATGGGGCCTAGGGCCCTGAAAGTGGAGGGTGTTGGACCAGTTTTGACAGCGTTCTCAAGACCAGTGGCCTCATCAGGATGCAGTGTGGGGTGAAAATAAGAAAACTGCTTCCCTGTGAACAGATCCCAGAAGGAAGCATGCAGTTGAGGACTCAGCCTCCCTCTGGGCATTCTAAGCTTGATTTCCCAGTCTCCTTATGAGATCCATTCCAAATCTCATGTGTCTGTGTATGCATATGCATACATTTATGGATATGACGCATCTGATGTGAATGACATATGTGTGTGTGCACATGAACATGAGTGTGCATGTATGTGGAAGAGGAAGACAAACTCTGGTTACTGTACACCTTTTCTTTTAAATAAAGTCTGTCACTGGTCTAGAACTTGCCAGGGAGGCTAGGTTTGTTGTCCAACATTCTCCAAGCATCTGAGTGTCTCTACCTCCCCAATGCTGGGATTACAAGTGCATGACAACAGGCCTAACTTTTTTTTTTTTTTAGTGTGGGGTTTTAGGGGTTGACCTCTGGTTGTCATGCTTGCAAGGCAAGCACTTTACCTACTGAGACATCTCCCCAGTCCTTCCCACCACAAACCCTTCTTTGTGTTTGTACCAGCAGACAAATCCAAACAACCTTAACTTCGGAGACAGAGAAGCTTGTTATGACTGAAGGAAGTATATGTTGTGTTTTCAAACACCTTTGGGCACTAGAATGCCTTGGTAGGAATCCACTTGGAGGAAGAGGATGGAGAGGACCTGGCATATGCACTGCTGAGCTCAGTGGCTTTCCTGTTTCAGATGGTAAGCCGAGGACTAATGATGTCAGGCCTGACAAGAAGTTAAGAAGTGCCATCTTGGAAGCTCAATTAAAGAGATATCTAGATTAAATGAATCTAAGAGAGTGAGGTTTACTACCTACAAAGGCGGTCTCTTGGGATGGGTCAGCATGGCAAGAGTAGGACAAATCCTCAAAAGTGACATGTGGCCATGCAAAGACAAAACAGCCTTCACCAGTCTCCAGTAGCCTTCTAGTTGGTGTAAATCTAGACTAACACTTTCTGTCAATCACAACTGTGTGTGAGTTGATGATTTATGAGTACCACACAACCCTGACAAAATAAATGCCTGAGAAGAAGTGGACGAAGCTTTACATCAATAACTAGAAAACACAAGAGATTTGGGGGCTGGAGATGTATCTCATTTGGTACAGTTCTTGCCTGGTATGCATGTAGCCCTGCATTCAACCCCCAGTACCAAATAAACTTGGCATGATGGCACATGCCCATAATCTCACCACTTGAAAAGTGAAGGTTGGAAGATGAAAGTTCAAGGTTGTCCTCTGCTACATTGTTAGTTTTAGGCCAATCTTGGCTACTTGAGACCTTGCCCTCAAAGAAATAAATAGATAAAATAGAGGGAATGGGGAAATGGCTCAGTGGTTAAAGGCTCATATTGCTCCTCCAGCACAGCTGACTGTAACTCCACTTCTAGCAGATCCCACACTGTCTCCTGACCTCTGCAGACACCCACATATATGTGGCACATGTGGGTGCCCCCACACACATCATTTTTTTACCTTAAAAAGCTAATTAATGGAGTAAATTCAGATGTGGTAGTACAAAGATCATTTATGAAGGAGTTTGTACATTTGCTGTAATAATAAAAAAATAGCAAATGCCTAGTTCCTTAATAAATTGACATAACTGCAGAAACAGTCATCATAGACAGTAGACATCACAATCAGTATCATAGGTTGGTATAGGGGTCTTGACATGAATGACTACAGCCATGTTGAGTTATAATTGACATGATTGTCTCTGAGCAACACTGTGGGATTTCTCAACATAATATGGATCAATCAAGGATCTTCCAACTTGCCTGAGATCACTTTTGTCCTAGGATTTCATAAGCCCCTCCATCTGACCCCCAAAATTGCACTCTCTGCAATTTCAGATCTGTCTTTTTCCCCTGAGACTTTCCTGAACCTTGTAGATGTCTTTCATGCATCCAGACCAGTTTGCTTTGTAATGATTGACATTTTTGATTTCAGAAAAATTCAGAACATGGAGAAGCAATTGTCCTCCTTACTTTGTGCTTTTAAAATTTCTATATCCTGAGTACTATGCATGGGTCCTCATGCCATGACACGTATGTGGGGGTTGGAGAACAATTCTATGGAACTAGTTCTGTTCCCCTACTTTTTCATGTGCTTAAGCGATCCAACTTAGGCATCAGGCTAGCTCTGCAAGTTCTTTATGGCTGAGCCATCTCACCAGACCAAGATGGGTTCAACTTGAACACACAATAATTCTTTTATGTATCTTTACCTGGAAGTGGGGCACTGAGACATAAAATTAAGATGAGGTCATTAGGGTGAACTATAACCCAATATTTTTATGAGAAGAGACAGAAACTTTCATTTGTAGGGAGAAAGCAGTGTGACTCAAATTGAAAGACTGGGATGAGACAATGAAATGCCTGGAGCTAAAAGAGGATGGGGCATGCACAGGAAGAATCTCATAGCGTGATCTCAGCAATGTGGTTGCAGGCTTGTAGCCTTTGAACTTTTTGAGAATTAAACTTTGGTTGTTTGTTTCTAGCAGGGAGTTTGTAGTCCTCAGTTGTCACAAGCCTGGAACACTAACAATCAATTTCAAGGACTAATCCATTTTCCTATAATTCAGAGGATTATATGTCAGAACCACAGACAAGTTACAGAAGAAAGGAAATCATTCCCCAACAGCATGAGATGAGGCCCAAGAGTTCAATTACATAAACCTACTAGGGACATTTCACATCCGTATCTCAACAGTGAATATACTAGGACACCTGTTGTCTGTCCCTGATGAAACAGTCAGCCCTTGGGTAAAGTTAAAGGAGCTGCAAAGAGTCATCATTGACTCTGCCCTGAGCTTGTGCTTCACAAAGATGGGATTTGAAATCTGTGGGTGAGGGAAATGCTCAGCCTCCTAGAGAGAAAATAGTCCTCACCACCCTGCGCCCTGCCATCACCTACAATATTCACAAACTGTTACCCAGAGTGAGATGGAAATCTCTGAGGAAAAGAAAAAGAGGGAAATAAGTTCTCAGGACCTTGATGGAAACAACAGCAAGAAAATTTTCAGACAGTTTCCTAGCAACAAAAATCAATGTACTTGGGTACTGTGCTGCCATTCCTTGAAAACATTGACTCCCAAAGAGTCTAAATGATAAAGAAAGAAAAGCAAGAATGAATTTCCTGGTGGCTAACATCGTATTCAACTCTCTACCTTAGCAAAAGGAAATTACAAAACACCTGCAAGTTTAGTCATCCTTATATTTTCAATGGTCAAAACCAAAACGTGGCCCTGAAATTGTAAAAGGGATATGCTGTTATTTGTGGCTTTAGGGTTATGTCCACTCACAACTCTGTGATATTGGAAGCAAACTAACCCTGGAAGAGAGGATCACCTAAGACCTCATTGTGTGACAGCCAAGAGGAATGTGACATTCAAGAAATCTCAGAATGAATCTGTGATAGTGAGAACATATAAGAGCACGCAGACCATAAAATGTTATCCATTCTTCTCTGTGCACTCGTGAGATGCTACAGGTCTATGTGATTCACACACTCCCATGCACTGTATGTGTAATGGTGTGTGTGTGTGTGTGTGTGTGTGTGTGTGTGTGTGTGTGTGTACATACATGTTCATGTATGTATAGGTGAATGCATGTGCACTTGGGTAGAGAGCAAAGGTTGACACTGGGTGTCTTCTTCAATCACTCTTTACCTTTGTAGACACAAACATGCATACATGCACACATACACATATACACATATGTATGCATGTGTATACACAGGCATAAACCACAGAGATACAGTAATAATAGAAGAAGAAAAATAAGACAACAATAAAACATTCTTGAAACATGTGTGCCTGATTAGAATACACAGTGAAGCCACTGGCTAACTCACTACTAATTCTCAGAAGGCGTGTATGTCTGTTTAATTTTTTAAAAATGGGATTCCTGTCATTTAATATCTTTCCCCTTTGCCCCATGAAGATGGCCATTTTTCTTTTATGAAGTAAACTTTTTTGATTACTCACATCTCTCACATTTCCTCTATTCACTCACCTGTCGAAGGTCACTTTGTCTTCATCCTGAATATGGTGTAAGATGGAGTGCACTGCTCTTTAAGGTCAGGTCCGATTGTTTCGGAGGTAAAGCAAGCAATGAGACCTACAATGCTCTATGAAATGGCTGCCGCTGCATCTCACCAGGCAAGTGCAGCTTACTCCATCAGATTCATTAATCCTTAGGATAATTTCTTAACCTGAAATACTCAGAGTTTAAATTGCCAGGGTTTTGAAATTGATTTTATTTAGGGACCTCTACTAAGGTTCATTAAACAACCCAGTGACTGAGAGAAAAGTGAGCAAAATTTGAGAAAATAAAAAAATAAAATTGCAGTTTAAAAGGCAACTAAAACTGAGGGGCTTGGTTTGATGACATAAAGTTTTTTTTCTATTGTTTTTATGCCATGAGGCAGGCTGAAAGGTTTCCATTATGGGTACATAACCTGCTGAAGGGGGCTATTACATTCTCTTCTTGATCTGACAGGTTACCCCATACCCTACTCCCACAGAACTAGTATGGGCAATGACAACCACTCTCTCTGGAAATCTGTCTTTTTCTGTTTTCATGTCTAAAAACCTCTGTTCTAAGAAATAATCCCTTTATATCTAAAGGTTGATGTGAAATCTGACAGTGCTTGGAAACTAATGAGACGGTATATTCATTTTGCATTGACTTTAATATTTAATTTCCACGAAAAATTTCTACCTGACAGAATGAGTTAGTAGGCACCTCCTGTGGTGTCATGTTACATTTACAGGCAAGGATGATAGTTCCAATCAATACAAACAAACACAAAGGTGATTTTGTAAAATCTTATGAGAATGGTTGGTTGTAGGACAAAACTTAAGATAAATAGCTATGTGTCTAGCGATCAAAACTTGTAAATGGAATAAGTAAATAAGCGATAGCTGCTCAAATCACTTCTGGAAACAAGAAAATAATGCTGTAAGAGTGGGGGACAGGGCAAGTGTACCTTCCTGCAGGCCAGGGATGAGTCTTCAGCTGAACAAGGTAACTGGCACTGTGACCCTTGACTCTGCATCCCTTCACTCACTCCACACTTGCTGCTTGCCATTCTGACCCCGCTTTCTGGCTGTCAGAGGAGAGAGATTATACCCAGCAACTTCCTATGAGTCAGCCAGTGAGTCACAGGGAAGGATCTAGGGAAGCCATTACAGCCTGAACTGATGCCCATAGCCTCGTGCCTGGCCTGCAGGAAGGTGCACTTGTCATGTCCCTCTACCCCATGTTCTTGCTCACCAGGAGAAGCCAAATCACAGCACAGTAATGGATGAATGAGTGACATCAAGATGGAAGATAAAATTGGACAAGGAGCTTCAGAATTAATTAGAAAAGAAGGTTAAATAGTTTTGCTAACTCCCAGAGCTGTAAGTAGCCTACTTTTAATGACTATGCATTGCAGTTAGAAATCTTCTGTTCAGTTGGATTTATTCCACTGTGCTCTGATTATTTGCTTAGCATTTGAAATACAATATTCTCTTCAAAGGCTTTGGCCTTCTTAAAATCTTCACTACATTTTCAAAACACATTATGATCTCGGGGTCCTCTGCTTTGGCCCTAGAAAGAAGTATAGTAAAATATAAAGCAAGTTTCTTTCTTTCTTTTTTTTTTTTTTTTTTTTTTTTTTTTTTTTTTTACTATTTCCCTTTTGTAGCCTAGTTTGTTTTAATGTGCATTTTCGTCTTCATCACCATTATTCTTGCCTCAGACACAGGTTTTCTTTTTTGGTTATAGTTAAGTCAATTATTTTGATACTAACTAGAATTATACATTAATATCATAAAACATTAATAAATGTTCACAATTTTCTAGATAAAGTAAAAGTGATGGCCTTTTCTAAAATTCAAATCAAGGCAGAGGATTTTGAAAATACATGTGTCATCACAGCCTTGTCGTTTACAACTCTTCTGAGGCAACCCAGCTGGTCCAATATCAGGCTCACCTGCCTGGTCCCTGTCTGTGCTTGAACCCCTTTGTAGCAGACAGAACCAAAAGTTTCTGTGAGCCCATTTAAAGTCACAGGTTTCACTCTTGTGTCCCAGAACTTGGGTGCCAGTAATGTCTCCTTAGAGTTTTAGAATGGGGTGCTCTGCAAATGCCATCCCACTAGAAATCATAAGCTTAAATTCCAATTCCTTAGTTAATCATAAGCTAAGCATAGGCTCTTATGTTCTTGCCCACCAACTGTTTAATAACCTTTTTCAAAGCAGACCATCCAGTGGTGTTACTTTAGATTTATTTTTCATGAGCATCTTATCCTCATAGAGCCTTTCTTTTCGCTTCTTTTTCTTCAAATTGGTCTACACTGTGAATGTTACCTAATATATCAAAAAGTGCAAGAAAACACAGATAAAAAAGTTCCTATCAACTTGTATTGTTTTCTCTAATAAAATACATCCTAAAGGTAATTGACTATATTGCCTTTGGGAGAGGGGTGGGGTGTTAGATAATCTGACATGGGGGATTATTATTGTTAAACGTCTACAACTAGAAAGAGTCAGACTGTAGTGAATGGATTCATTTTTAGCCTGCTACTCTGAGTTTTGAGATGTGAATCTTGGTTTTACATGCTAAAAAGCCTTACCATATCTTTTGGGCTCTTTTAAAGAGTAACCAGTATTTGCAAGCCATTTTCTTTTGATTATGGCCTATATTTATGCTTTCCATTTTCTGATAATCTGTGCCATCTGAAAACTGATTTGAACATAAATTACTATATTTCCTGATTCTAAGATACCATCTTGATTGAGAGCAAAAAATGCTATGCCTTTGAATGAATCCACTGATTGTAAGACATGCAGCAGTTTTAGAACTTTAAAAGCAGAAAACCATGCATTTTAAAATCAAAGATACAACAAGATTTTTTTTTTCTTGCAAGAAATCAAGCTTCATTTGTGGTCCTTACTATACAAGTAAATTCTGGTTGGTTTTTTTTTTTCTTAAATGTGTGGGACAGATACAGACAATTTCAGCTGGTTTCTAAATAAGAATAAATGAGGGGCTTGATCTTTCCACAGTGGAGAAATGCCAGCTCTTCAAATGGTGGCACCAGAATCTCTTGGTCTCATGTCTGCCCAAATACAGGTTGTGCCACCTCCAAGCCAACCTATCAGTGTGAGTATTTTGTATGTATACTTGACTGAGGTATATTTTTGCTATTTTTCATTTCACCCAGAGGTGTGCCAAAGCCCAGGCAGAATTTCCAAATGGAGCAAAAATATTATTATTTAAGCCTCACGTTGACTTACAGCTTGACTGATCCTCATTCCCAACCTTCATTTCATCAAGTGAGTGGTTAATTAGATTAGTGCCTTCTCATTACTTGGTTGTTTTCCAGAGCATCAGTTAAATGGCCAGTCACACCAGAATTCCCTGGTACTGACAGAAATGATGATTCCCAGGGCTGGAGAAATGGCTCTGCTGCTCTTCTAAAAGACTCCAGTTGAGCTCACAGCCACCTGTAACTCCAGTTATAAGAGATCTGACAGCCTCTTCTGGCCTCTGTGGGGATCTATACATATATCCGTATAACGCATACCGCATGCACACACACACACACACACACACACACACACACACACACACACACACACACACACACACAGAGAGAGAGAGAGAGAGAGAGAGAGAGAGAGAGAGAGAGAGAGAGAGAGAGAGAGAGAGAGAGAGACAGAGAGAGAGACTTTGGGGCAAACATAAGAAATGGTGATTTCTTGGCTCAACAGCAGCTGTTTATCTCTAAGTATACAGGCTGGGACCTGGAATAGGTTATTTCTAGAAAGTTCTCCAGAAGACTCTTTTGTCCATTGGTATCTGATAGTGTTTCTATGTAATACAGCATTAACTCAAGTGCTAGAAACTCTCTTAGCTTGAATTTCTTCTAAGAACAGTATGATCTCAAGCAAGTTGGCTTAACTATTTGTGCTCTAGTTTCCTTTTGGCTAAATGGAATATTAATGTCTCCCATACAGGAATGCTTGCGGATGGAATGAGTTAATCTAGAAGCAGTACTTAAATCAGTGTTTACTATGTTGTAGAACTGATAAACATGGTTTTGTTAATATTCAGAACAGAGAAAAGGCATACATTTTAAAAATAATTCTTTTTGAAGATTTATTAACTTATTATGTATACAGCATTCTGCCTGCATGTATGGCATGCTATGGTCTTGTTACAGACCATTGTGAGCCACCATGTGGTTGCTGGGAATTGAACTCAGTACCTCTGGAAGATCAGGCAGTGCTCTTGACCACTGAGCCTTCTCTCTAGCCCCACAAGCATACATTTAACAAATATTCAGTAAATGCTCACTACGTTCCAGGCACACATCCCAACCCCAAAAGCCTGTATTCTCTCAAAGAGTAAACCGCCAGTGCACACACTTAGGATAGATATGCGTTTTGACTCTCCTCTCAGTACTAGTGAGGATGAATACCCTCTACCTTTTGCATGAAGAAAATAAAGTCACAAAGTGGTTTAGAAACTGGCAATGTCCAGGCAGCCTATTGTGATGGAGTTTTCAGGAAACCAACCAGCTGCCACCCCAAAATCATTTCCCTGCCCCGTGCTGCCAGGCATATTCTAGCAGAGAGGACACTCCACTGGTCAAATGCCTGGACTCTTGGATAAATGGTGATCTATCTGGAGTATAAAACATGCAGGCTTTTAGCTACAGTGTACAGATGGGCTTCTTATAAATGTGAGAGTTGGGGGAACATTATTCTTCCCCTGAGGGCTTGGCATAGATCTCATATTCACAGCGAGTAAAAGCTCAGAAATTGTATGCTAAACAGAAGAAAGTTAGATCCACATTTAAATGCTGATTAAATTCTAGTGACTGAAAGATAAGAAAACCTGCTGCTGTCACCTGGTTGACAACCTGATGAGCAGGCTTTTGGGGGTTGGGCTGTTTTTCATTTTTTTCTCTTGAAAGTAGAAAGTTATTTAAGGTGTGGTACCATGAATAGTACCTTGTATTTACAAGAAACCTCTCCCTAAGGTGTTGACACATTCTGTCCACACTGGCTCCTTTTCAGTGTGGGATTCATGGATAGAAGTGATGAGTAAGAGTCACGATGACAAGAGAATCAAATCTAACTTCGATGATGCCATTATTTCCCAAGCAGAATGGATTTTGAAATTACAGTAAGAAGAGATCACATCAGGGAATTCATCACTTTGCTTCCAGAGAAAATTATCTTTTTTATGTCTACCTTTAAAATACTTTAGAAGGATGGTGAGGCAGGATATCTTTAATAAAATTTTTGGAGTATAGGTCTTGAATAGGAATGTATCTATAATAAAAACTAAAATGTAAGGAGGAGATGAGAATTTATCTTTGCTATAGGAATTAAAGTATTCACTTTTATATTATTTCAGTAGGAATTGCATTAAAATTTATAAAATAGAGAAGCTATTTTTTAAAAGTCATTAGGACTTCTAGATATATGGAAAACATTTACACATAAACCCATTTTTTTACATTCAATGTAAATGAAATGTTTTGGGATGTATATGCTTTTAAAAATATTTATATATTTTTTGAGAATTTCACACATGCATACTATGTATGTTGTCCTTCTCCACGCCCATTCTTCACTTCACCACACCCCCCTGCTAACTTCAGGTCTTTTTAAAAAACCTACTGAGCCTAATTAGTGCTGCCCATATGTGTATGAATATAGGACTGTCCACTGGAACATAGTCAACCTACCGAGGACCACATCCCTGAAGAAAATTGACTCTCCTCCTCCTGAAGCCAACAACTGCCTATAACTTCTCAGCTGTGGGTGGGGATTTGATACCTTCCCCATCTGTACTAGTGTGTTGGCTAGCTTGATATGGTGCAGATGTTGTGAGGGCAACTAGAGCTGCTGTGAGTGGTCCTGCCATGCTTTCCACCCCATTATCCATGATGTTCCTTGAGCCTTGGGGAAGGAGGTAAACACTCCATTTAGGAATGCACTCTCCACAGTAACTTATTCTCTACACCTTGACCAGTTGTGAGTCTCTGGATTAACTGCTATCCACTACAAAAAAAAATAATTTCTTTAATGAGAATTAAGAGATGGAATAATCTGAGGATGTAAAGATCAATGTTTAGAAGTAGGATGGTTTGAATGAAAATGGGCCAATGGGTTCATATGTTTTAATGCTTAGTGTGATAAACTGTTTCAGAAGGATTAGTAGCCATGTCCTTGCTGAAAGAGGTTTGTCACTAGGGGTGGGTTTTGAGGTTTCAAAAGCCCATGCTAGGCCCAGTCTCTCTCTCTCTCTCTCTCTCTCTCTCTCTCTCTCCCTCTCCCTCTCCCTCTCTCTCCCCATGTAAAGTTCTTAGCTACTCCAGCATCCTGCTTGCCTGCATGCCACCATGTTCCCTGCCATTATGTAATGGACTAACCCTCTGAAACTATAAGCAAGCCCCTAATTAGATGTTTTTGTTTATAAGAGTTGCTTTGGTCATGGTTTCTCTTAACAGCAATAGAACAGTAACTAAGACAAGAAGTCAGTTTGATACTCTGCCCATTTAATAAATTAATAGTAGCTTCTCCCTTGGAGTTTGTTTCTTTCCCAACCCCAGGCTTTTGACCGAGTTCACAGTACTAGACATGAGTTCTGTCCTCTAGGAGTAGGTTTTAAATCTTGTCAGAATGTGGTTGGTTATCCCACATAACATCCATGCCTCTATTGTACCAATGTGCATATCTATCCCTGTGTGTCACTATAGTAGTTCACAGGGTTCAGAGCTGAGCCACATGTAAAGCTACTATTTTAAAAGCTTCATACAGAGATACTCTAAGTGGAGTTAGCCTATATTGGGGGGATAACACTTCTCCCAGACACCATAGGTTATACACACACACACACACACACACACACACACACACACACACACAAACACACACACACACTCCTGTGTGTCTACACACACACACACTTCTGTGTGTCTGTGTGTCTGGAGAGATGGTTCAGTGATTAAGAGCACTTGTTCTTTCAGAGAACTGAGTTTCAATTTCCCAAACCTACTTGTGCCTCACAATCATCTTCTCCAATTCAAGGAGAACTGACATTCTCCTCTGACCTCCCCAGGCACCAGGAACACACCTAATACACATGCATAGATGTAGGCAAAAACACTCATATACAAATGATAAAATGTGAATTTAATGTAAGTAGCCCAGTATCAGATATGCAATTCTTCCCTTTAAATTGTTGGTCAGGAGAGTCCCATAGGCTTCCCTCAAAAATAGAAGGCTTGTTGTTGTTCTTGGCTTCCCACCAGAAATTGATGTTAAGATCCTATTGCTGGCTAAAAGTGGTGGACTCACACCTTTAATCCAAGCACTTGGGAGGAAGAGGCAGGCAGCTCTCTGTGATCTAGATCAGCCAGATCTTCATAGCAAGCTGCAAGCCAGTCAAGACTACAAAGTGAGACCCTGCATCCCAAGATTTTAGGAAGTGATTTTTGTATAGAGACACAGGTGAGTCTGGGCAGGGCCAGTTTTACCTCAGCTCCCACAGTCTTCACTGCTTGGAATCTCAAAAAATTTAAAGAGATTTTAGAGATCTACATTTCACATGAGCTCTTCTGCATTTTAAATTTGTCTGTTTTAAACATTGAATGAGTGACACAAAACACACTTGCATAGTATGCAAAGTTCACTGACCACATGTTCTTGTTGGCTTAGTTTGGTTTAGCTCCCTTCGGTTCCTATAGCATACTCAAGGAGAAAAAAATTCAAAAGCAAACATTGCCTTTTCTCCTAAACATGTTCTCTTACCCTCCTTCATTCCTGTTGTTCATCTTCAAATAAATTAAAATCTACTCAACTCTTCAAGAATCTTCAGTGACCATAATCAAGTGTAAATTCTTTAGTACAATTTTAGGATCTCTTTCATCCTTCATGTTTCTTTCTACTTTGGCATATGGTGGTCTTTTACAAGATGCTCTTTTTGTTTTTTCCCTCTGTTGATTTTGCACTCCAGCTAGAATATTGTGTACTATCTTTTAAGTGATGTTTATACAGCTTACTAGAACACAGAGTACAGGAAGAACTTAATCATAAAACCGTTGTAATAGTTAATACAGAGTGACCTGTTTTGACCCACTGGGTGTATCAAAAGTGAATTCAATAAGTATTATTGAGGCCTCCCTGTGTGCCACTCAGCCAGGCATTAGAGTTATGAAAATTTAAAATGCCGTTCTTTTCAAATTGTTTCAGCCTCAGTTAGCTATGCCATCCACAGGTGGAATAGGAAGGCTTTAACCGAGTTTGGTGGAAGATGCTGATGGAGACTAGAATAAGGAAAGTGTTGGGAGCCAAAGATCTCAGGGCTTGGCATGAGATCCTAGGCCATTCTTGGCCAGCCACACAGTTGTATATTATCCTTTACATAGCAGCTCCTTAAGAACCTCAGCTCAAGAAAAGAAATAACCTGACCCAGTCCACCCACAGGCTCAGTCACCTAGGCAACCCTTCCTGGACCTCTTACTCATAAACTCTTTATCCTGCCAAACAGCCTCTTTGTGGCTTCCTAATATCCTGCCTACACTAACACCTGGCTCACAAGCAACCCATTCTACCCCTCCCCATATCCTGCTCTGCCGACTATATAAGCCAGCCTGAGGAAAAAATAAAGTTTGCCACTTGATCAGAATCCTGTCCTGTGGTCATTCTTTCTGTGTCTCTTGTCCCCATTCCCTATCCCTGACTCTCTTGGCCCAGGTTGATGTCCTGAAGGTTGGGACAGGAAAGAATGGGAAAAAAAATGATTTAGAGAGGAAATACTTGAGATGAAGGCAAGGAGAAGTAGACTATTTTCACATGAGGCACAGGAAGTGGAGGCATTTTAGGCAGAGAAAGTAATTTCAGACAGAGGATTAATGTGTTATGTTAGGAAGACTAGCAGGAGAATGGCACACTATTTCCTAGGACTGAAAGTTCATAGCAGTGTAGACACAGGCTTAGATTGTTGTTGTCACCCTGTGTTATAGTTTACATGGAATTTGCTCATAGAAATCATTTTCCTGAGGCTTCCTGTCATGAGATAGGAGCCTCTTAGCTAAACCATTAATGACTCAGCTGATACCTAGTGCTCTTCAAGGCCTTGAATTACAGCCAACTTAAAGGACTGTTGCCACCCACTGAGATCTGGCATTAGAAAAGGAATATGTCATTGTCTGAGAGTCTTTTGACAAGTTCCTTTGCTCAAGTTAGGTACTTGCCCACACCCTTCTACCTACACTCTTGTGTGAGCCTCAAAATGTCCTTCATATTTTTAAATTAAATCAATGAAATTTTGTTAGAGATAATTGGTGGAACTGGGATACTTAGTTTATGTTTTGTCTTTACAATATTTAAACTTAAAATATAAATTAATGATGATTCCTGGTTATTTTATCTCTAGGTGATGATATTATAGTACTATACAGTTTTTCACAGGTCTGTAAGATTCCCTACTGCTGTACTAACATCCCCCAGGAAGGAACTGTGTTGTCATTTAGAAAAATAACATCCTGTATGTTGTTAAAGTCACATAGACAAACACATGAGGATAATGCTATAAAGTATAAAACTTTTGAAATATGAAAACATAGAGCTATGTATAACTAAAAAGATAAGAACTAGTAATAGATTTTAGTCTTTACCAGGATTAAAGCAGCATTAAAAGCCTTTGTTTGTTTAGTTCTCACAATATGTGGTTTCCCCAGTAAAGCAAACCTCCTTGGGGCTGATTGAGTCAGCTCTTGAAAAGGCGGTGAGCCATGCTGTTGCCATTCATAGCTGTCCCCATTAAATTCCTTCTCAGAATTAGGTCATACATGGGCACTGGCTGAGCGAGGCACAAAGTGTCTCTCATAATGATTGGGATAATTGTTAGTGCCGTCCACCCTTGATTCTCTCCTCTCTCCATCTTTTCATATAGCATTTTTTCTTCACTGGTATGCTTATTTGTCAATGCAACCACAGGCACTGATTTGCTCTGATAGTCATCCAGGCTAAAAGCTGCAGCATTACAAACCAACTGAAGGCCAGTATATACTGCTACATCTTGACCACCCACACGACTATAAACTTAACAGAGGTCCTGTCATGCTAATATTCAGTAACTCAATAACTATTTCCTAGTTAAAAGTGACAATGTTTTTACTGGATATGTAACAAATTTGAAATAATGGTTGAACTCTGAATGTGCTACATTACATGATTAATAGTTATCATTATAGTTTGGAATGTATAATTTTTAACTTATCATGTAATTGCATTGTAAATACTATGTGTATAGTACACATGTTGTATTTTATAATTATATTCCCGTAGATTGTTTCAGCTTTTTCATGGGTCTCAGTCTATGGCAGTGCTGGAATGAGGGAATATATACAACTTTCTAAATCAACAGTGTATTATCTCACATAGTTATGATTTTGTGTTAAGATATGATACCCACTCTTGGTATTTTTCAAGAATATCAAGTAAATTAATTATAATCATTATGTTGTATAAGAGATCTCTTAGCTCATTTTTCCTAAGTAACTAAAATTTGGGGCCTTGGACATTATCTCTTCTACTATTTATTCTAAGCATTCTAGTCCATGGAAGCCACCATACTCAAGTCTGTTCATCAACTATTGGAGATTCCACTCTGAATGAAATTATTTAGTATGATCACCTCTCTTTCTGGAAGATAAGCCTTGTTTATATTTTCTGATATTTCTTCCCTTTCTAGCTGTTCTTGGGATTTACAAAAGGACAAAGGTTTGTGCCTCCTGGCATTGATGGTGGAACACATCTGATGACCAGTCACTGGTGTGCTTTAAGGTATCTGGCATTTAAGTCCATAATTGGGAAAAAATCAGCAAAATGTTACTGGATCATCTCTACTACCGCAACAGCAGTCCTGTCTTGCTCTGTGTGCTGTGGATCCTTGCCAGTTGGCAGAAACTCTTGGTCACTATGTTCGTTTCTGACATCTCATCCTTGCTACCATTTTAATTCTAGTGTGACTTGCCTTTGGGGGTTCATCAAAAGGTGATTTATTTCCAGAGTCTAACAAGGAAGTGTGGTTGAACTCTTGCCCTACCCCCTCTTCAATCCTCCTTGTAAAGAATAGGTTCCATTCTCCAAACATATCCTTCATGCTTGAATTTTGTGGTTGACAGAAGGGAGGAAGGGAGTCTTCATTGCTGTTCTCATTCATGGGGTCCTTTGCCTTCTGTTTCTAGTCCAGGAACCCTTCCCCATTATTGTATATCAGATAACACTACCTCCATGATTGTCCCCTCTTCTTTCCAGGATTGAAGGAATAAAAATACATTGATTTTAATATTTTCCAAGTATTATATATGTCAGATTAATTTCACCCAAGAGAATGCTAAAGTTCGAAGTGGTTAAAGTATCTTGCAAAATAGCAGAGCACTGATTCAAAGCCTGGTTATAAAGCATATAGCACCAGATGGCTTGGAGTTTTTTAGTGCTTTAAGCTTCTCATATCTCCTCACACACTTTAAACACCAAATATTGCTTATCGAATTTAAAGCATAATTTGATAGTGCTTCTCCAGCCTCATTTAATGTTCAATGTATGAGACCAGAAGCAATTGCCCTAATTAATTACTTTTACAAAACACACTGCAAAAATGAATTAGTGATTAGATGAAATTAAAATCTAACTGAGGCAAGCAATTCTGCCACTTTCCACTCATAGTGGGGGAGACCTTTGTTTCAGATAACTATTATCTGTGATATCAAAAACGGATAATTAGCATTTTAAAATGTGTTTGATTTAATTTTTAAAAGAGCAGAGAAGTGTTTTACATGTAAAACTACTGGTTGAGGATTAATGAACTGGAATCTATACTATTTAAAACATAATCGAGTTTGAGTTTTAAAATAAGTAAGATAAAATTTTTTTCTGAAAAGAAGTTATAAATGTGACTTTTTTAAATGTGCATAGCAATTATTCAAAAAAGAGATTTTTTTTAAATTTTTCCCTCCAGGTTGTTCCAGACTACTGCTAGAAATAATGTCACAAAAATAGTCATGAAATGGACTATGTCTGGCTCTTTGATCCCCATGTTCAATGCATGTCAACTGTCTCTTTAAATTAATTGCATATGCCCTACTTACATGTGTCTCTTTCCAGCCAGTCATCCTAGTAACCCTATAGCACCCACTGCTCTCCTGGTGAAGGTTCCAGCCAAGGCTACCTGTGTCCAGCAAAGCTCATTTGTTGCTAATGCTCTCTTAGGAAATCCTGTGCTTATCGATGGCCATATGTACAGAGCCAAGACCCACAAATGCCCAATGTTTCTGTCTCATGATGTCTGCCATTTCTCAAGGAGCCTGCCATTTTTCAGCCCAGATGGCCTGATCGTGGGGCAACATGGAGATTTTATTGAGGTCACTCTTTTATATACATCATGTTTTTTTTTTTTTAAAAAAAGATTTTGTTTATTTATTATGTATACAACATTCTGCTTCCATGTATATCTGCACACCAGAAGAGGGCACCAGATCTCATTATGGATGGTTGTGAGTCACCATGTGGTTGCCAGGAATTGAACTCAGGACCTCTGGAAGAGCAGTCGATGCTCTTACCCTCTGAGCCATTTCTCCAGCCCAACATCATGCTTTTTATATGGTCTTCTTAATGTAAAATGCTGTGAGAGTGTAGCAGAAGGATGGGCTAAAAATAGATAACACATTATAAGCAACATTTTCCCTGTGATACTGAACTCATTATCCACCATGCAAGCCTGCCTCAACTCTTTCCTGTTGTAAGTACTTTTCTTATGCAACATGGCCTCTGTGAGCATCTTGGGTTTCCAGTGAAGACTTCCGCTGTCTTTCTTTGTGACCTTCTACTCATGTTTACCAGTGCCTGCTTGAAATCTGTTTGATATCCCACATCAACTTTGAATTCAATGGACTGAATTAAAAGCACCATTTCACTTGATCTTCCATCTAGGTTTCCTATTACAATAAAAAGAACCACATTTACTCAGTTACCCATTTAGAAACTAAGCATTTCCCATATTATCTTCCTCAAACTCGCTAATACTCATTTCTACCTTGTCATAAATATTGATCATCTCCCTCCTGAGTGTATCTTAAGCCTATTTGCATCTTGTTTCTATTCTCTTAGCTTAGGGCATTACCTCTTGCCAAGATTTTTGATCTTGGGAGGTGGCTCAATAAGTAAAGTACTTACTATGTAAGCCTGGGGACCTGAATTCAGATCCCGAGCACACACATAAATTATTAAGCATGGTTGTGTGTCTGTAATCCTAGTACCGAGGAGGCAGAGAGCCCAGAATCCATGGGGCTCAACAGTCAATCAGTTTAGAAGAATCATCAAACTCCAGGTTCAGTGAAATCCCTTGTCTGAAGCAATTAGGTAGAGAGGGGCTACAGCAGACACTTACCATGCTCCTCAAGTCCCCATGCATATGAACACTCCCCATATACACAGACATGCACAAGCACAGGAACACACATAGTAAACAAACATAAGGTTTCTGCAATAACCTCTTGGTCATTCTCCATCTTCTTCCTGCTCTATCTTCATATAAATTCTTTGCTTAAAACTTCTAACTTTTTCTTTGTCTCAGTTTAGCCTGGCCACAAAGATGTCTTTTGCTCTTTTGATACTGGTACTATCTGTCTCACCTCTGGAATTTTCCAAATACCATTCCTATGCACGGGAAGATTTCTGTATTTTTATTCAGTGGGTGGCCAAATTATGTTTGGTCCAGAGTAGAGTCCCTTAAAGATCTCATTGACAAGCAGATTCACTGAATATATTTATCTTTCTTTTACTGAACAAGTTTGCTTCGTTCAACATTTAGTTGATATTTCATAAACAATAAGCTGAACTGAAACTGACATCTGCATGTGAACCTACAAGGTTTGTTTTTAGGTCCTGCCAGGAGTGTTCAATTCATGTCTGTCACTGGCATCAAAGGATGGTCCTCCCTGACTGGGGAGCATCACCCTCTTTGATTTGCACGACACCCTGAAGACGAAGCCAACGCCGAGGGCAGAATGGCAAACACAGTACAGCGAGGGAAGCTCTGGATGCTTTTCAGCCAGCCAAATCCTCGAATCAAACCTGGCATGAGTGGAGAGACAGATGTCACTGTCAGATTGCTCCATCATCCTTGATGTGACCTACCACGAGGTGTTCCGATTTCGTTTCTAAAAGCCTGGATAAACTCAACAAGGTTGGACAGGGAAAAGGAGAAAATATTCTTACGGCTTGGCAAGGCCAGTGATGTACACTCCACCTAGAAACAGACCTGGGATCTCCATGGTTGACGAGAGCATCTGGCTGCCGTCTACAGGAAGCTGGGAGCGTGCCAGCTTTAATAATCACAGTCAGCTTGCCCACCTTTCCATACCGATCCAGTCAGATGACGCACAATCACTTCTGTTCTGAAGCATAAATGCACGAGTGCTAGGAAATTCTGTGAGGCCACCATCTCCCTCTAGAAGTGGGAACAGTTTATGTGTATGGCAAAGAAAATAATTGCACAGTGAATTCACAACAATGTCTTCACAACGACAAGTTAGGAGATGATAAAACTGATAATTGCTACTCAAGCAAATTTAAGTATTTTAATTCATATAACACTCATTGTCTTTCTAGTTTATTAAATTAGAAAATACTTATTTTAATTTGGTCTAATAGTTTGATTTTGTGTTATTGTAATTTGATATTCTAAGACAAATATGATTTGTGACCTATAAAGTCCACACAAAAAAGCTTTTTGTCTGGTATGAGTTGTATTTTTTTAAATTTCTATGATTAGCTTTATTATCAGTCTACCATAGATGGGCATGGAAGCCCCATAACCCCTACCCCCTAAAAGAAAGCTGAATAACCAATGCTAGGACAAGGTGTTGCATGAGCTGCCCTTAAAGGAGTAAAAACAAAAAGAAAACTGAATGTTACATGAAAAAAATCCCAGAGGAATAGAAAAAAGCCCCTAACAGTGGAATCACAATAATTACCACATAGCCTGGCACCTGGGAGGTTAAAACTACAAGTCGCAGGGCAGAAACAAAACATCCACAATACAAAATAAGAACCCCCAAAAGAAGATAGGAAGCTGTCATCCCAAGATGCCAGAGTGAGCTGAGAGAGGAACCATGACACACTCTCAGAAATCTGGTCACTTGTCATCCGTGCTTTGGTGCCTTGGAGAGAGACTGAGATTCTTCAAGGCTTCCTCAGTTTCAGAGAACCTGGGTTTGGTGTTTCGGGAGGACTTCTCAGGGTCCTGCCCAGTTGCCCTTGCCACTCTTGTTACCATGAGGAAATTGCACAACATTTTGCCTCGAGGATAAAAGGCATAGGGGCAAGCACAGTCATCCATTCCTCTGCATCTCGTTGTAACTGGCACCGTGTCACTGTGCCTCCCCTTCTCTCCATGGGCCTTAGACAGCTGCTTGACCTTCATCTTGTTGGTCTTAATGACTGTTTCTTTCTGAGTCTGTCCAGTCAGGACCTGGTAAGTCTTCAGGCTGGTTTTTTATCTTGTTTGCTCTTCTGAATTGGGGTATTGATCCCAGTAGAAGCTGGTTGAGGACTCTGAGGGGTAATGGGAAGGACCCTGTACCGCCAGCTGGGTGTGTGCCTGGGTGTCCTGTGTATCCTGTGCCCTTGGAAACTGTGGTAAGCAAAGGGATAGGTGTTCTTGCATGCAGTGAGCTGTATTTGAGGTGGAAGCATCTCCAAGGAGTGCTGAATGAACCAAGTCTCAACTTGTTCCTCTGTCAGGTGGAGTCTGGTGGCCAGATCCTTTTGAGCCTTGGGGTCTGGGTATGGCTCCTTCTCAAAGTTTTGTTTCAGTTGCTGTTGCTGTTCCCAACTGTACTCCTTGTCAAGGGGACCTAGGGTATCTGGGGACAGAAAATACGGAACGTCTCCCATCTCCTATGTAGCTCACTCCAGGTGGTCTGAGAACCAAAGGTTCTATAAGTTGGATTTTATAAAGTCTAAAATATAATTAAAATATCAGATAAGCACCAGTTGTGCATATATATTTCTCAATATTATTTCATAATATACATATTATTTCACAATAATAATATTTTTATACATCAATTGTGTACATATTTCATAACATACATTGTTTCCCAGCAATATATATATATATATATATATATATATATATATATATATATATAATTGTGAAATAATTATGGAACAGAAGATTTCCCTTCATTTAAACTTCTCTTAGTTTCTTATGTTCACAGGATTCCACATAATTTAATTAAGAAGTTTGATAGTTTCAGCCAGTTTTTAAAAGTAGTTTTATTTTCCATGCTATTTATAGGGTTTGGGGGAGGAAATATTCTAAGGTTGATTGCTCTTTCAAAAGAAGCCAACACTCCTGAGAGAGGGGAAATTTAGGAGAATATGCTGAACAATAGTAACCAGCACCTGTATGTACTTTATCACATTCACTGGAAAGTTCTATGTAGTTTGTCCATGTTGATACACTAATCCTTGAAAAAAAAAAAACTCACTTAGATGGGTACTCTTAAAATTCCAACTTCCATGAACAAACAAACTGAAGCCTGCTCTAGTTAAAGTAAAGTAAGTGTTTCCCAAGGTCACAGCTAGCATATATGAAAAAGACAGGAGTCAAACAACTCAGATGTCTTCTGCTGGCCCTTCTAAAACACCATGAGAAGAAATTCTGCCTTTTAAAAAGAGTTAAATATCCCCCAGTAAGTTTGATGCCTCACCAGGTAAATGACAATTCTGTGAACTGTCTAATGTCCTTACAACAAACTCCTGTTTAGCCTGCCTACATCAGCCTCTGTTATTTACAGCACACGGGTGACACACCAAATCATGAATAGTTTATTGATTCCAGCCATATGAGCATCACTGGCATGAATAAAACAAAACTCCCATGAAGAAGGAGTAAGAGACAGAGGATAGAGTGAGAAAAGTAAGGAACAATAAAATTAAACAAAACAAGAGAAGTGGGCCAGACAGGGTGGCACCACAGTAGTAATGCCAGCACTTAGCATCTAGAAGCAGGAGAATCAGGAGTTCAAGATTGTTGTCAGCTACATGAGTTTAGCCTGAGCTACATAAGACCCCGTTTCAATGCCAAAAGGCAAAGCGTGCAACTTGCACAAGGTTAGAGTTTTTAAAGAGGTAAACAAAGATTGGCTTACAGATTAATTATCTAGGTTGTCATTCAAGAGAGCATTCCTGGAGTTACAAACATGAAAAATGTTCCAGCCACTTAGACTACACAAGCAATCAAGGAGAAACAGACACCTAACAGTAGCTGGAGAATGGGTTACCACCAGTGCGTTGTCTGTGCCAGATTAACTGAATAAACATACACTAGTGTCGTGACCCAGCTTGTCTCAGCTCCTACCCACGACAGCCATGAGGTTCTGCCTGAGTGGGGGTGTGTGGACCTGGAAACTCCTAGCAACCCAGCGATAAAGAGCAAACACAGGCATCTTGTCATCTTTAGAGAGCTCTCAGTTCCATGTTGTAAAACTAGAGTCTTTTCTTTATTTACCATCTTTTTGGCTGTTTCTTAACCGTGCTTCCATGACCACGAGGAAGCCATTTCTGTCCTTGTTCTCCTCTCTGCTAGCTGGCAACTCACTTTCTGTCTTCACTTGTTACTTCCACACCTCACATCTCCACCGGGTGCAGGCCTATTCAGATGCTTAGGCCCATAGAGATGAAAACTAGGAGATATTTCCCACTGAGGCCATGTCATTCAATAGCAAATCAGTTAGCATCTGCAATTCAATGCAGACAGGAGCTCCTGGTTCCTGGAGCCCCTGGAAATTGCTCCTGACACACTAGTATGTGTGTCTGTCTGTAACAAATTAATGAATATTAAATGGTATATTTTGAAAATAGAGATCTTGCTTCAAATGCCCAAATGATATTCATCATCAATAAGCTAGAGAATGAGTTTTGTCCTCCAAAAACTGAAAATTATAAACTCATAGAGTACAAAACTAAATCTTAAAAATAAAATCAACCTGGCCATTTAAACAAACCCTGAAGAAAGTACACAAAAAATAGACGTCACCATGGAAAGAGGACAGCTCCTCACAAAGGACTGGAGTTTGGTTCAGGCAGCTCACAAACACCTGTAAGCCCAGCTTTGGGAGATCTGATACCCTCTTCTGGCCTCCATGTGCTCCTACACACACACACACACACACACACACACACACACTTTTTAAAATAGAGACAGGTTTAAAATTGGTTGTTTGTCTTCTATGATTCAGTTTTAAAATAGCATGAGTAGTTAAAAAAACAAAACACAAGGGCGGGCTGGTGGTGGCCCAGGCCTTAAATCCCAGCACTTGGGAGGTTGAGGCAGGTAGATCTCTGTGAGTTTGAGACCAGCCTGGTCTACAAGAACTAGTTCCAGGACAGTCCCCAAAGCTAAACAGCGAAGCCCTGTCTCAAAAAAACTAGAACAAGCAAACAAACAAAAATACCCACAAAACGAACTACCAGTTGAAATTTCAGAATATCTTAAAATAACAATACACAAATTTTATAGTAGCACAATGAAAGAAACTAGATTTAAAAAAACAAACCTCTAAAAATGAAGCAAAAAAATTATAGTCAGAAATTTTTTAGTAGAAAACAGACAAACAATAGAATTAAAGCATTCATAAATATTGATGAAACCATAAAACAACAGGCCACTAAGTACAGCATGTAAAGAAGAAACTAGTTACTGCGTGAAATGTAGAAAAATGGTCAGAAAGTGTCTGTAGGAGAGAAAAACTGACTGTGAAAGAAATTTCCTCATTACTGAGAGAACAAGCCTGCAGGTAAAGCAGGTAATTTTCCAGAAAAATAGAATTCTGAAAAACAACACTAAAAGAGGCAGGAAAATGGAAAAGGCTGTCCCAAGGCTGGACAAGGACAGTTGTTCAAAAGAGCCTGCTCTGTTTGAGAATATGAGCACTAAAAACTCAAGAAGGAAAGCATGTCAAGTCTTTAATGCAATGTATTTTCTTTCAGTAGTTTTCTAAACTTTTCCAATTCAGATAAAAAATAAGCACAAAATAACAACAACAAAAAATAACTTTCACTCCTCTGTGAAGAAGTATAATGTGAAACACCAACCAATTTGTGGGAGAAAAAAATCTACAGACTAACTGAAAAAAGTCAAGATGTATTATTAACGAAAATATCCTTTTGAAATGGAGTGAAATGATGTTTTGAGAACAAATATAGATTAATATATATACCATATTCGTAAAAAATTCATATGCTCATTTCCACTGAGTATAAAGAAAACAAAAATTCTATTTGTGATTTTCTAATTCAATATAATAGCAACATCCCTACTATTATAAATTATAACTGACCTTCCAACCCAAAAGCAAAGAGTCCAGTTACCCAACAGCCTCAGTGAATGCGTCCCTTGAAGGTCGTTTCTTGAGTACAACAGAGGACATAGGTCTTTGCTCACAAGTTTCATCTTACCTTGCACTGTAGATAAGGCTTGTGCCTTGCTCAGGACTGCGACCCAGCTCTGAACTTCTCCATTTGGTAGACTCCAGCACCACAGTCTTCAGTGAGGTCTGGTCTGCAGCAGTGGACACATACCGCCGTTTCTTCAACACCCACCCTCAACCTAGGGTTACCACGCAGTTCTCTAATTTACTGTTGTATCTTGTAAAGTTTATATGATTCTTTATGAGAAAATGTTTTAATTTCTGTGTGTAGCATGAAAAATAAAAGACCCAGAGACAGATGTTGGGGTTCAAGCTTCAAGCTGAAGATCAGAAAAGAAAAGTATCTGGCCACTAGCTGTTAACTCTACTTCATACTGAAAGGGCAATCCTGTCTCCACCAAACCTCAGACTGTAATCCCAGAGTGCTCTGCTCTCCTCAGTGTGGCTGGAGAGAATCCTGAGACTGAATGTCTTCCTATCCTCAATGTGGGTGGAGAATGAATACCAGCTCTGAGACCTGGCTCCTGTCTTCTATGCATGTAATCCCCGGTGCTGGGATCAAAGGCATGAGCTCTGTTACTCTTCACTCTTGTGTAGGCCATGGTGGCCTTGAACTAATAGATATTCATCTACCTCTTACTCATGAGTCCTAGGATTAGAGATGTGTACCACCACTGCCTGATCTCTAAAGCTTGAGGCTGACTTTATTTTCTGAATCTTCAGGCAAGCTTTAATAAATCACAAATGATATATCACTACATCTGTGTGATTTCTTTTACCTGTTTTAGTCATCATACATTTAAATATATCAGATATACTGGCCACTGAAATTATAGAGGAAAAGTAATATTAGGACCAAGTAAGATGCCATTAAATGTTCGTAGAGAAATTAATATTGTCAACCAAAACACTACTAAGATTAAATAATTCACTCAATCAGAGAATATAAAATTAGTATGAATCTATTAGAAGTCTTCCTATAGAAAACTATTTGAGGGTATCTGCAATAAGAAAGGCACATTAAATAAAAAGAAAAATCCTTGGAACAAACCTTAATAAGAACATATAAAAATTACACAAGGAAAAGTAAAAGGCACACTTGTACATGAAGCTCTAACCACTCTAAAGTGGGTGTATATTTTTGAGTGGGAACCTCATCCTCCAAAAAAACTTAATCAAGTTAATAATCTTTATTTAATTATTTTATTGGTAAAATGATTTGTGAATGATTGTTTCGCATTATTTAGAGATATTAAGTTTTCTATAACTAGTTGAAGTGATATTAAACTTTACATCAAAATCAAGGAATTAGAGCCAATAAAAGTCTTTACGATATAATGAGTCAAGGTGTTGGGTAATATCAGAGCACGGTATTGAGGCTATAATTAAAACAGCTTTGCACCAAACACAGTCATGCAGAAAGACCAAAGGACAGATCAGAAGTGACACTAAGAGATAGTGGTTATGCCTTTAACATAAAGTAACTAGGCAACTCAAGTGGGAAAACTTCAACTGATGAATGAGTACATCTGACAAAAATTGGACCATGTCTGACACAGCATACCAAGACTGTTCCCAGTAGGGGATTTTAATATGAACATGTTCAAAATATTAAAAAGTAATAAAATAACTGTTTTGTAACTCCAACATGAAAATAACCTTTGAAACTACAGCATGAATTCTAAATGCTAGAAGAGCTAACTAACAAATTCATCTCTGTTATTCAGAACAGAGCAACAGGCCTTCCACAACATGAAAACATCATATGCAAAGTCAAAAGGTGTGACCCGCTGTGCAAAAGCCCTCTCAGCTTCATTGGTATCCATGCATGTGAAGAGGACACATCAATTAGTAAGGAAACCAATAACAATCAAGAATAAAACAGATTGTATGGACAGATGTCTTACAGTAAATGAGTCATTAATGGCTCATGAACACATAAAAAGCTCTCCTTCACATTTAATAAGAGAATCCTAACTGAAAATTATGGTAAACTACAAGTTGGGAAAGAGAAAATGCAAACTTTTCTAACACAACCTTGTCAAGGATGTAGAAACAAGCCCTTACCTCCATTAGTGATGAGATGATAAGTCGATACAAATTCCAAGCATGGCATATTGGCACCACTGGCACCACTGGCATCCATCTATGACTGTCATCCCAAGCAATTCTACTTCTATGAGTGTATGGGGGTTGTTTATTTGGGATTAAACATAGCAGTATTGTGTGTTATAGCATACTTGCAACTGACCTACTTTTATATATGCAATATTATTCAAATAGGTTATGTCTTTAATAGATCACAAAATCTATCCTTTTTTTGGTTTTTTGGTTTTTTTGGTTTTTGAGACAGGGTTTCCTGTGTAGCTTTGGAGCCTATTCTGGCACTCGCTCTGGAGACCAGGCTGGCCTCGTACTCACAGAGATCTGCCTGCCTCTGCCTCCTGAGTGCTGGGATTAAAGGCGTGCGCCACCAATGCCAGGCCACAAGTCTATCTTTTAAAAAGGAAGCTCTCATTGTTAATAAAGACCTTCAAATGCCTTTTATAAGGGGTAAAGGGTAAGCCTATGATAGACTAGCACTCTGGTGATGTATGCATTTACTTTACTTACCAGAAAAAAATCTTTGCAAAGATTAACGTGATTAACGAAGAAGATTTGGGAAGAGAGCAGGCCATGGGCAGGGAAGGAGAGAGAACTTTTCAACATTTACTTTTTAAATTTCTGATATTTTCTGTACTTATCAAATTAAAAATAAACATTTAAAATTATAATAAATACAGCCAGGCTGTTCAAAATACTGTAAAGCTCAATTTTAGCTTTACTCTACTTTTGTTATACATGTGCAATCCTGGAGTGGTGCTCAGAAAATTACATTTTGATGTTTATTTCTTTGACTTTCTACAGGGTAGGGTTCACAGAAAATTCTGTCTCAGAACTCACGCACAGTATACTAATTCCCATATACAATAACTATTCTTCCCTTTGTCTCATCAAAACTCCATGTGGTGTTTTATGCTTCTGTGCATGTCTTCATTACTGGCACATGGCCTCTTTGTCTGCCCTTCAGCATCTCTGTCGCCCTCCCATGTTTAGGATCTCTACCTGAGAGTCAACCACCTCAAGAGTTGTGTACTCGAGGGGCAGAAGGAAAAGTTGAAATTTTTTGTGTTTCAGTTGCCCTGGTCAAATGCTGTCCCACCTGTGACACTGGCTGGAACTTAGGAATACTTACCATCTCCACTTTTTCACTGGTTAGAGACTTCTTCTCCCAATCTGAAGATCTTTGTTATAAGAAACAGAAAATAATTAGGACTTTGAATATTTAATTTTCTTAAAGTTACTATTTTGCACATGGAAGACGATGCAAAGGATATCTAGAGTTGGGGTAAAGAATTGGCATGCAGCTGGAGGCTCAAACTCCAGCTTCTTTTCTAGCTGGTTATTTGCAGACAGACATTTACTTGTCACTGCAAAGGGACATACCTTGCTTGATTCTCATTACAATATGAGTGTTGTGAAAACAGTGTCTAATTCATTGGGCTTTCTCAACATGTTCATGAGGTAAGAAATGTAAAAACACTTTGAACCACTCCCAGCATCCGTGTTCTTGCATCTCCTACTGCATCTGCAGAGTTCTTCACTGAATCAAGATTAAGAAAGCTGACCTCAAGGTCTGCTTTTGACATTAATTTGATTTATATTTTAGATACATTTTATGCATTTTAGTCCTTGTAACTATAAATTGGAAGTCTGAAATATAATCTCTTGTGTACCATTAAATGCTGAGCCATATTCCTAGCCCTTTATTGGTTTTCAAATACAGCAGTTATTTATGTCACAACAGATGAGTAATCATATTATCAAGAGATAAACTGTCTCTGCTGCTGAAATTTTAAGAACACCGGGTTCTAGTAGCTTCTCATATTGGGGAAAAAACCCTAAAAATTGACAATTAGACAAAGGACACAGTAAACAAGACAAAACGTCAGCCCACAGGTTGGGAAAAGATATTCACCAACCCCATATCCAACAGAGGGCTGATCTCCAAAATATACAAAGAACTCAAGAAGCTAGTCTCCAAAACACCAAATAATCCAATTAAAAAGTGGGGTACAGAACTAAATAGACAAATTTCAATAGAGGAATCTAAAATGGCTGAAAGACACATAAGAAAGTGTTCAACATCTTTAGCCATCAGGGAAATGCAAATCAAAACAACTCTGAGATACCATCTTACTCATGTAAGAATGGCCAAAATCAAAAACACCAATGACAGTTTATGTTGGAGATGATGTGGAGAAAGGGGAACACTTCTCCATTGCTGGTGGGACTGCAAACTTGTGCAGGCACTTTGGAAATCAGTATGGCAACTCCTCAGGAAAATGGAAATGAGTCTACCACAAGATCCAGCAATTCTACTCCTAGGTTTATACCCAAAAGAAGCACATTCATCCAACAAGGACATCTGTTCAATGATGTTCATAACAGAATTATTTGTAATAGCCAGAACCTGGAAGCAGCCTAGATGCCCCTCAACTGAAGAATGGATAGAGAAAATGTGGTGCATTTACACAATGGAGTACTACTCAGCTGGGAGATGGGGCGCAATGGAATCTTGAAATTCTCAGGCAAATGGATGGAAGTAGAAGAAACCATCCTGAGTGAGGTAACCCAGTCACAAAAAGACAAACATGGTATGTACTCACTTATATATGGATTCTAGACATAGAGCAAAGGATTGTCAGCCTACAACCCACACCACCAGAGAAGCTAAGAAACAAGGAGGAGTCTAAGAGAGACATACATGGTCCCCTGGAGAAGGGGAAATGGACAAGATCTCCTGAGCAAATTGGGAGCATGGGGGGAGGGGAGAGGGAGCTAGGAGAATGAGAAGGGGAGAAGAGGTGTGGTAAGGAGGACAGGAGGGATCAGGAAGGTTGAGTTTCGGGAAGAATAGAAGAGACCAAGTTAAGAGATACCATAATAGAGGGAGACATAGGTTTAAAGAGAATTCAAGCACTAGGGAAATGTCTGGAGATCTCCAAAGATGACACTAATTAACAATCTAAGCAACAGAGGAGAGGCTACTTTAAATGCCCTCCCC